GCTCACCTCACCCCTGTCTCAGAATTGGCTATTGTGGCAGGCGGCTCCAATCAATCCATGTCATTGCGGTAACATAGCGACCCTTTGTACAACAAAACAACACACCACCTGGTCCTGCGCCATCCTCACAATTGTTGCTAAGCTTGAGCCCATTGTTGCAGCCACTGTGTCAATCCATCTCATTGCGGGTCTTCCTCATTTTCGTTGACCCTCTACTTTACCAAGCATCATATCCTTCTCCAGGGGCTGGTCCCTCGTGATAATATGTCCAAAGTACATGAGACAGAGTCTCACCATCCTCACTTCTAAGGCAGATTTTGGCTGTACTTCTTACAAGACAGATTCGTTCATTCTTCTGGCAGTCCATGGTATATTCAATATTCTTCACCAACACCATAATTCAGAGGCATCAGTTCTTCTTTGGTCTTCCTTATTTATTGTCCAGCTTTAGCATGCATATGAGGTGATTGAAAAATACCATGGCTTGGGTTAGGCTCACCTTAGTCCTCAAAGTGACATCTTTGTTCAAAATCAGAGTGTTGACTGAGTTGATTCCTCCTTACAAATCTCTTAGAAAGATACTCTTATCCAGATGCTCAAGGTTTTTTGTCTTGACCTACTTGACATGGCTTAAAATCACATGGTTTTAAAATAACTTTTCCCCTTTCCTACATGTTATTTGAATAGCTCATGTAATTTTTTTTCAAAGTCTTTCTTTTTTATTATTTGTTTTGTTATTGTTGAGAATATACACAGCAAAACATACACCAATTCAACAATTTCTGTATGTAAAATTCACTGACTTTGATTATGTTCTTCAAGTTGTGGAACCATTCTCGCCTTCTTTTTCTGAGTGGTTTCTCCCTCATTAACATAAACTCACTGCTCTTTAAGATTCTTATCTAATCTTTTGAGTTGCTGTTGTCACTTTGATCCTATATAGCTAGTTCTTAAAAGAGCACAGTTCTCAAGGCAGACATTTTTTACTAGTTAAGCTAAAGTATTGTTTGGTTTTTGAGGATGGTGAGACTTCATCTCACGTACTTTGGGCATGTTATCAGGAGGGACCAATCCCTGGAGAAGGACATCATGCTTGGTAACGTAGAGGGTAGCAAAAAAGAGGAAGACCCTCAGCGAGATGAACTGACACAGTGGCTGCAACAATGGGCTCAAACATAGCAATGATTGTGAGGATGGAGCAGGACCGGGCAGTGTTTTGTTCTCTTTCACCTAGGGACGCCATGAGTTAGAACAGACTCGATGACATCTAGCAGCAACAACATTGTTTGGTTTTAAGAAGACTTCAGGGGATAATTTTGGCTTAAGGTTTAAAGATTATCTCAGGGCAATAGTTTCAGGGTTTCATTCAGCCTCCATGGATCCAGGAAGCCTGAAGGGGTCATGTAATTTTTATGCTAAAATATTTTCTATACTTTTTTTACTCTGTCATGATCTTTAGATTCTTTAAATTCTCTTTTTTACCCAACACTCTGATTCTTTCATTTCTTTGTTGACTCCCCTCTTGACACTTAAAATGCAGTCACATTCCCTGCCTACTTCTGTTTCTCACCCTGACATCTGGAACTCTTGTGTCAAAGGATAGGGCCAGTTTGGATTCAGAGATCCCACTTATCCTCCTTACCTGTGACATTGTTTTGGTTCTTCCCTTATCCCTCATGCATTCAGGATAGCTCACTAGGTCAGTGTAGACATGCCTCATCTGAAGTGGAGAACAGTGCCTGGTTCATACTAGGCATTCACAGAATATTTGTTAAATAAATGAATTCACTACCTAACCCCATGAGTATCCACAAACAAGAGGTGTTAACACAGTTAAAAACAACAAGGGCCAATCAGGTATAGGGCTTTAGACCAGATGTTACCACCAGGCTATGCTAAAATATGATGAAGGAGAACCTTCTATTAATGAGTATTATTGAGTATTGGTCAAGAGTGTGAAGAAGAGCCAAGTCAAATTAGTCACAAATATTTAATAAGTGTATAAAGTTATGTGACTTATTTCTTACAACAGAAGCCTCTATTTCTTAACACATGAAAGCAAAAGCTTTCTAAACGGAACCATCTAGACAGCAAGAGATTGTAGTTTTGTTGTTGTATTGTAGCAGTTTTTTCAATCTCTCATGGGGCTGTACATATTATAGATACTTAATGGATAACTGCTGGGTGAATGAGTAGGTGGATGAAATGAGTATCTGAAAGAAATGTGAAGGCATTGCACCTGAGCAGATATGTGGTGGAGAAGAAAAGACTTGAGAATTGGAGTCAGAACAGGGTACGGTCTTGGCTGGTCCTTACCTAGCTGTTTTATCTGAGATATATTTCTTAACTTCTCTGAGCTTCTGTTTCCTGCTCTATAAGATGAGAATATATGTACCTATGCCATCAGCTCAGAGCCCTGGTGGCACAGTGGTTAAGAGCTTGGCTGCTAAGCAAAAGGTCGGCAGTTCGCATCCACCAGCCGCTCCTTGGAAACCCTATGGGGCAGTTCTGTTCTGTCCTGTAGGGTCACTATGAGTTGGAATTGACTCGATGACAACAGGTTTCATGCCATCAGCTCAGGTATAAAGGCTACCTCTTACAAGGATATACTAAATCTCACAAGGGTCCTCTTCTTGAGGACTGGGTGAAGATACTACTATCAGACCCCAGTTCCGTTGCTCTAAGACAATTGGTTTGTGTGTGTCGTAAAGATAGAGTGAGTTATATAACTGGTGATATTCCTCATCTGCACTGGAACTAGAGAACTTGGAGCTCAGTCTTCAGCCTAATTCTGACAAGATGTGTAAGGTCTTAAAGATTTATTTTAACTGTTGAAGTTCCTCCCTGCCATCATCCTATTTCACCTTATACCTACTTGTCTTTCTTAACAAGTGCATCATTTCATTGGTTTAATTCTTAGGTTTGGATATATCTTTATAACCTGGCTCGAATTGTTTTTAGAACAAGACATGGAGGAAAGGAAGGGAAAGGAGGGAGGGGTGAGGGGATGAGAGGGAAGGAAGGGGAAGAAAGTCAGAGCACCAGTACCAGTACCTACCTCTAAGGGTAATTGTGATGCATGAATGAGATTGTGTTTGCTTTTACAATTAGTCCTCAACAGTTTTCACCTTCTTTTAGAGAACCCAATGGACTAATACCTTTTTAGATATGTAAAACAAATAATCATAAGATTTTTATTAGTAGCAAAAATGTATTTTCAAAGTAATCTAAATAATAATGGCATATATAATTCCCTGACTTTCAAATCATGCTCCCTGGAGTTCCCACAGATACATAAGATGACAAGAAGGTAGGATAGTGGGGGCAGGGGGTATGTTTGGGTTTCTTCAACCAAAGGCTCTACCCATTGTTACTTTCGTTTGTTCACCCTTATTCATGTGTAAGGTTTTTGTTGATATAGGGTTCCCTGGGGAAAAAAAGTTTGAAACCACTGAAATATGTAAGTGGCGGGATAGTACACTGGGGAATACTAGATGTGGATTTGCAAAATAGAATGTCATACATTTTGAATTATAGGTTTGACTGTTAAAACTGTTTCCTTTTTTTGTGTGGTTGTTGGTTGCCATTGTTGGTCGCTACAGAATGAAGTGAAAATATAGAAGAGGAAGTAGATTTACAACAGCATCCTGTCACAGATTTAACATAGTTTTAGAAATTGGTAATTGCACCATTATACTTTTACTGAAGTACAATTATGCTTAGAAATTCTCCATTTTCCAGACTCCCACCGCACCTATCCTCTCCCCAAGAGGAAATCTAGCAAGTTTCAGTGGAACTCCTATTAGAAACATTCTGGTGTAGATTGGCACAGTGGTTAAGAGCTTGGCTGCTAACCAAAAGGTTGGCGGATCGAATCCACCAGGCTTTTCTTGGAAACTCTCTGGGGCAGTTCTACTCTGTCCTATATGGTTGCTACTCGACGGCAGTAGGTTTGGTTTTTTTTTTTTTTTTTTGGTGTGGATTAGCTAAAAGCATAGAGAATGTAATCTGTCTTCTATTTCATTCTCTTCCTACCCACTAGAGGGCAGCAATAACGCAGCAGAAAAGGGAAATTGCTCAAACGGTGGAATTTTCTCAGCAAGACTGTATCCTGTGTGGGCAGAGAACACCAAAAAAGTCCCTCAGTGCCCCATGTATGAGTTACTAAGGGTCAGCTTCCCTTCCTCCTTCTCTAAATATTTAGGCAACTTAGATAACTCCTTTTGAAGTTATAACATTTATCTGTTGGTTTGGCAAAACATTAATTTTAAAAATGAACATTGAAGATATCTCTCTAAAAAAGACATTTATGTAAAAATTTAGAGTGTTTTAGTTGTCTATTGCTCTGTAGTATACTACTCCAAAACTTCCTAATTTAAAACAACAGCCATTGTATCATCTCCCTTGATTCTGTTGGTTGACTGGGCACAGCTGGGCAATTCTTCTGCTGCATATGAGGTTGACTGGGGCTGTAGTCCCCTGGGAGCTCAGTAGGGCTGGAAAGTCCACAATGGCCCACTTAAGTGGCTGGCTATTTGTCATCTGGGGGCTCAGTAGGCACTGTGAACCAGAGCACCCAGTTTTCCTTCATTAGTCTCTTCATGTGGCTTGGGTGTCTCACAACATGGCAGATGGGTTCCAAGAGGGAACATACCAAAAGGAAGGAGCAGAAGCTTCCAATCCTACACATCCCTTCCACTACCTTCTAATGGTGAAAGCAGTCACAGATCAGCCTAGATTCAAGGGGAGGAGAAGTAAGCCATACCTCCTGATGTGAGGAGCAGTGTGTTTACAGGTAGGGGAGGAGTTATTGAGGGCTGTCTTTGGAGATCATGAGATAGACAGTTAAGAAAAAAGCTATTTCTTTTTTTTTGAAAGATAGTTATATGTCATGGGGGATGCAGAGAAGAATTTCTTCATTTAATAAACAGGAATTGCCTCTTTTTTTTAAGAATAAAAATGCACAAAAGTCATTCCTTGTGTCACCCCCTCCCCTGCAGATCTGTTACCTAAAGCAATAAAAAATGGCCAGAGGATCAGTGTCCGATGAAGAAATGATGGAGCTCAGAGAAGCTTTTGCCAAAGTTGGTGAGTAGAGCTGGTATCTCCAGTTGCACAATTCTCTTTATTAAGTAGCTTCAGGACAGCTCCAGTGAAACGGTAACATGAGCAACATAGTGGCGGCAACAGGAAGCCAGCAGTGTTGGTTAGAGGTGCTGGAGGAAGTCAGTTGAAAGACATAATACAAGAAAATTAACTTATTTCCTTGTCAAATAATGGAATATGGACCTTCCCCACTTGTAGCTCTTTCCTGGTAATGGCCTCTAATTCTCATCTTTGTATCTTTTCTGCTTTTTTTGGGTTCCTTTGTTTTTCTGCTATTAAATACTATCTCTTACTCTAAACCTGTGATTCATTTTCCCTTCTGTTTTATAATAGTTCCTTCACATTCTGTTGCCCAAACCTCTGTTCTGAAATGGGCACTCATTAACTCTGGAAGTTGGAAGTGATGCTAATGCGCATATCCAGTAGCAAGAGGCCTCTTGTGAGACATTGACTCTTTATGAGATCAAGCCATGACCCTTACATAACTGCCTCCCTCGCCCCCTTACCTCTATCTAGTCTTCTCTCGCCTCCCTGATGCTGTTATCTGAAACTTCAGTATGTCCTTTGCATCACAGATACTGATGGCAATGGATACATCAGCTGCAATGAGTTGAATGACTTGTTCAAGGCTGCCTGCTTGCCTCTGCCTGGTTATAGAGTGAGAGAAATTACAGAAAACCTGATGACTACAGGTGATCTGGACAAAGATGGGAGGATCAGCTTTGATGAGTTTATCAAGGTGAGTATGATGCAGATTGATACAAGGAGACACATTTGAAACTTGGAACTTATATTCGGTTTCAAAAAATATTCAGAAAAAAAATTCTCACTTGCTATATATGGGTGCTTCAGCATTACTTACATATTCTTTCCTTCGTGGTTTTCTTGATCACAACTTGGGTTTCTAAGGACGCCTATATACGTGTGTGTGTGTGTGTGTGTGTGTGTGTTTGTATAGAACATTTTATTGTGGTTTGGGTGAAAGTTTACAGAGCAAATTCGTTTCCCATTAAACAATTTATACACACTTTCTTTCATGACATTAGTTGTAATCTCCTCAATGTAACAGCACTCTACCCCCCTTCCTCCCTGGTTTCCCTGTTTCCATTTACCCATCTTTCCTGCCCCTTCTTGCCTTCTGAACATTGTTTTTGGGCAAATGCTGCCCGTTTGGTCTCATATGGTTAATCTTCTGGGGAGCACGTTCCTCACAGGTGTTATTGCTCACTTTATAGGCCTGTCTATTGTTTTGCTGAAAGGTGATCTCTGGGAGTGTGGTCTGTTCCAGGCTTGAAGGGTGTCTAAGGGCCATAGTCTCGGGGGTTCCACCAGTCTCTATCATACCAGTAAGTCTGGTCTTTTTTATGAATTTGAATTTTGTGCTACAGTTGTCTCCCACTCTGTCCAGGACTTTCTATTGTGATCCTGATCAGAGTGATTGGTAGTGGTAGCTGGGTACCATCTAGTTCTTCTGGTCTCAGGCTAGTGGAGGCTGTGGTTCGTGTGGGCCATTAGTCCTTTGGACTAATTCTTTCCTTGAATCTTTTATTGTCTTCACTCTTCTTTGCACTGGACAGGAAGAGACAAATAGTTGTGTCTTAGGTGGCCACTCAAAAGCTTTTAAGACCCCAGATGTTACTCACCAAAGTAGGATGTAGAACACTGTCTTTATGGACTGTGCTATGCCACATGACCTAGATGTCTCCTGAGACTATGCTCCTAAGCCCTTAAGCCCAGTGACCCAGTCTCTCAAGGTGTTAGTTATGGCAAAGAAGTTTTGATAACTTTGCCTCCTTTGTGCTCTACTATATACATGGATATATTTGCAGCACATACAAATATGTATGTACAGATATTCTCTGCCAAACCTATATATGCTTGTGGGTGTACTCCCATATGCCATCCCACACCTGTTCAGCCTACTTATCTACCTATGTCCTTCATAAATTATTACTGTTATTGCAGGATTGTGTATGTAATAGTATTTATTGTTGTTTCCTTTTACTCTTATGTTTCTCCCAGTGTCTTCCTTTGCCTTAGTCAAGTTGTGCTGACTTCCCCCATAGTGTGTATTGCCTTTCCCTTCACCCAGGTTAATATGTGTCTATTATCTAGTTTGTGATTTTCCCTCCCTCCCCCTCCCACCCCTGGTAACCATCAAAGAATATTTCTTTCTGTGTGTAAACCTTTTCTTGACTTTTTGTAATAGAGGATACATTATATTTTTTTGCAGATTTTTCGTGGGCTGAAAAGCACAGATGTTGCCAAGACCTTTAGAAAAGCAATCAACAAGAAGGAAGGGATTTGTGCGATTGGTGGCACCTCGGAGCAGTCCAGTGTTGGCACCCAGCATTCCTATTCAGGTATGTCAGACTAATGGGAAGAAAGCAGAGGTGGAGAGGGTGTTGGGATGAAGAGAGAACTGAGGCAGAGGGAAAAGGAAAAGTATAGAAAAGACCCATGCCTTCTGGGGTTACAGATTCTAACCCTGATAACTCAAACCTGAGGAGGATCAGCAAAGACAGCCATAAAGTCAAGTTTATTGGTTACTACCTGTTTCCTTGTGCATAAGTGGGCCAATTCCAGGTACATAAGATAGGAGCTGTCCTAGCTCCAGGTAGGGTCTAACACCAAATAATACCACCGCAAACACACCACACATACCTGTTGCCATCGAGTCGATTCTGACTCATAGCGACCCTATAAGACAGAGTAGAACTTCCCCATAGGGTTTCCGAGTAGCAGCTGGTGGATTTGAACTGCCAACCTTTTAATTAGCAGCCATAGCTCTTAACCACAGTGCCACCAATAATACCACCACCGTTTAAAATATATATATTAAAGACTGCCAAAATATCTTTGTAAATGCTATGGACAGAATTAGCTACTTGGGCATTTACCTCCAAATTTCATGATTATTCTCAATGCCTGCTGAATAGTCAAAAAAAAAAATTATGTGTTTATGTCAGGAAATAGGTTTCTGTATGATTTTGAAAAGAGTTGTGTATTTATTCAGAAGGCTGCCATCCAACAGCCTTAGGGGAACCTTCTAATAGCAAACAGTGCAGTAAACCAATATTTCTCACACTGAGTTCTTCAAAATATTAGTTGACCTTAAAGATGAGTTACGTGGTTAAATACTGTCTATAATTGCTGAGACAAAGTTAAGCCTTTTATTTTTAAATACATGCCTTTTCAGAACTTTTTCTCTGTACATGTGCACTTTGAATCTTCAAGATACTAATATGCTGTGTAATGTTTCCCAAACATTTGTGACTCAGGATTCTTTTGAGGGGATATGACGAGTTTTCCATAACACACAGTTTGGGAAACACAGTGTTTGTCTGTAAAGCATAGCTTGAGGTTTTATTAAAACTTCTCAAATCAACTTCTGGCAGCTTCAATGATAGGAAAGAAAGATTACATCGTAAATAATTTCGTTTCATAGCAATTTCATTATAATTGTATGAAGAAGCTCAGTGACATTGCAAAGATTAGCTATGGTCAGCCAGCATTTCAATCTGCAGGACTTAAGGGCTAAAGAGTCTGAGCTCCCCCGCTCCAACCAGAGCAGTTCTGCTTTTGGTATTTTAGAACCCTGCATTTCATCCTGTACATGTCAGATCACGTTCATATTTACAATTTCCAGATACATATAAAGAGAGAGAGCGAGATATGCTTCTTAATCTGCTTCCTGTATGTTTTATGTCTTGGAGTGAACATAGATTCTGTGCTTATTTTCCAAATGCTGTGAGATTTATATATACATATATATAACAACAACAAACAAGCCATTGCCACTGAGTCAATTCCAACTCATAGCAACCATATAGGACAGAGTGGAACTGCCCCACAGGGTTTCCAAGGAGCGGTTGATGGATTCGAACTGCTGACCTTTCGGTTAGCAGCCGTAGCTCGTAACCACTGTGCCACCAGGGCTGCTATACATATATAATTTTACTTATTTTGTTGTTGTTGTTGAGGATATACACAGCAAAACATGCACCAGTTCAGCAGTTTCTACATGTACCATTTAGTGACATTGATTACATTCGAGTTGTGCAACCATTCTCAGCCTGCTTTTCTGAGTTGTTCTTCCATCAGTAATATAAACTCACTGCCCCCTAAGGTTCCGATCTAATCTTTTGAGTTACTGTTAAATGATCTGAGATTTTTAAATGTCAATAAATGTGAGATGACGGGATAATGACCAGATAATCTCGCAATGTCTTTCCTGGGCAAGAGATTCTTAGATCGATGTGTATAATTTTGTTTATACCGGATTTTCTCTTTGCAAATGAGTGATTTTAATCATTTGCTCACAGAGGAAGAAAAGTATGCCTTTGTCAACTGGATAAACAAGGCCCTGGAAAACGATCCTGATTGTCGGCACATCATCCCAATGAATCCCAACACAAACGACCTCTTTAGCTCCGTTGGGGATGGCATCGTTCTCTGGTAAGTAACGCTTCCTCCTTGGTGTCTGAAGGTTCCCACCAACAGGCTTGCCCATTCCCTAGAGTGTTAACAATGAACTGGGGCTTGCCCTGGGCCAGCTTCCCCTCGCACTCAGCATGCTTTCCTGGCCTTCCATTTGTCAAGTCCACAAGTGTAAACAAAGGCAACCTACAAAGAGAAATGTAAAAGTGCTTTTGTCGAGGGGCACCAGGGAGAGATAAGCATAGACATAGTCATACAAGATCAACAGCGATTACTTTGGGAATATCATCTGAGCATGACATACCATGAGAATACATGTCGTTGTTAGCTGCCGTTGAGTAGGCGCCGAATCATGGCGACCCATGTGCAATAGAACAAACGTTGCCTGGTCTTGCATCATCTTCATGATTCCTGGTATGCTCGAGTCCGTCTTTGCAGCCACTGTGCATTTTGAGTGCCTTGCGACCTAGGAGGCTCATCTTCCAGCACTATATTGAACAGTGATCTGTTGAGATTTATAAGGTTTTCATTGGCTGATTTTCAGAAGTAGAGCAGACCTTTCTTTCTAGTCTATCTTAGTCTGGTAGCTCCGCTGAAACCTGTCCACCACGGGTGACCCAGCTAGTATTTGAAATACCAGTAGCAGAGCTTCCAGCATCACACAAGCCACCACAACATGACAAATGGACAGAAGATGCTGAGAGTGCATAGGGTTCATAATAGCAGCAGGATAATTGAAGTGATCCAATGCAAGCTGTAACCCTCAAGGAAAGGGACTCGAGTGTTGCAGACATAGATATAACTCAAATACTGAGGGCATCTGGACAGGGAAGAATGTGTACCCTACAAAAAAACAAACCAAACCCATCACCGTTGAGTTGATTCCAACTCATAGTAACCCTACAGGACAGAGTAGAACTGCCCCATAGGGTTTCCAAGGAGCAGCTGGTGGATTTGAACTGCTGACCTTTTGGTTAGCAGCTGAGCTCTTAACCACTATGCCACCAGGGCTCCGCATCCTTTATCCTCTAAACACAGTGCTGCTCAGTTCACAATGCTCTTTGAAACTGCCTCTGTAGCTCTTGCCTTAGCAGCTTCTCTGCCATTGCAGAACACGATGCTAGTGAGGAGGCTTGAAGTACCCAATGTGAGGTGGGCTCAGGAGGTGAAGGGAAAGGCGGGTGGCAAGACTTTGAACTCTCCCTCCTCTACTCTGACCAGAGCAACTCTGCTTTGGGTGTTTTGTTTATTGGAGCTCAGCATGAGATTGTATTCTGAAAAGGTTCAACTGCTGGAAAAAAAAAAAAGCATAAAAAACTAGCCTGCAGGTTTATCTTAATGGTGGTGGAATGATTTGGAAAAGGATAGCACGAATGGGTGCACAGCTTGAAGAATGATTACACAATGTCCCTGAATTGCACATGTAGAAATCGTTGAATTGGTGTACGCTTTACTGTATATATTTTCACCTAATAATAATTAAAAACAAACAAACAACCTAGCCTACAGAATAAGTCCTGACTCCTTAGCTTGGCACCCAGCACACTCCATAGGCTTCCTTTAATCTCCGGGTCTTACCTCCCAAGACCCAAATGACTCAGTGGGACCAGCCCAGGGACCAGCGTGAATGATTGCATGAATTTCTGCAGGCATCAGCAAACCTTCTCTCCCCCGTGCACACCCGGCTTGTAACTTAGAACTGTGGCTTTGCCCTTTATTTTCCTTTTTTAGAAGGTCCTTCCCCATCTTCTTCTATACAAATCCTTTTACCATGAAAATTTTCTCGTGTATTCAAGCCCTCTGAGATCTGTCCCTTCACTGAATTCTTAGAGGGTATACTGTTTATAATACCTTGGGGCTATTAGAATGTACTGCTGCTGTTATGTAACTTTATATGCATGTATTTTGTCTCTATACTTCGACTGTAAGCCTTTCAAAGGCAGGGAGGAAGTCAGACCCTCCCTTTCAATCTCCCAGAGCTTCTAATTAACTACTAGTCTCATATTTTTCAAATGATGATTTAGGAGATTGCTTTATTTAAATTCAAATAAAATGCCTTTTAACATACACATACACATACGCGCATGCTTGGAAAAGTTATGGAAATACATCTTTAAGGAACAATAATAAAAAAGGTAGTTGCTTAAAAAATATTACGGAACAATGTGAATGCTCATTTTTCGTCTCCTTAAAAAAGCTATAGTCACAGCTGAGCTTACTGCTCTTTGATTTTGTTGTTATTTCTTTCGAATTTTTTTATTTCAATTTCTCTTCTTTAAATAAGATGGAGGTGACCTAAGGAAACTTATTTTTCATTCCTCATTGAACATTAAACAGATGCTAAAAAAAAAAACCAAACCCGTTGCCGTCGAGTCGATTCCGACTCATAGCAGCCCTATAGGACAGAGTAGAACTGACCCATAGGATTTCCAAGGAGCAGCTGGTGGATTCAAACTGCTGACCTTTTGATTAGCAGCCAGGCTTTTAACCGCTGCATCACCAGGGGTAGCATGGTATAATACCACTGAAATTTAAACCCAATGTTACTTGCTTTGTTATTCACAATTCTTTCATTAAATTCTTTAATCCTTTCTCTTTCAGTAAAATGATCAATTTATCAGTGCCAGACACAATAGATGAAAGAACAATCAACAAAAAGAAGCTCACCCCCTTCACCATTCAGGTATGTGTTTCCACGATTACTGACAGAGCGTTGTGCTTAGAATGAGCACCATAGCTACTGAGTGCTCAGATGCTATTCCCCAAACCCAGGCTTTGGGCCAGTGATTTGTCATGACTAGCAGAGATTGAAGGAGCCCTGGTGGTCCAGAAGGTTGACAGTTAGAACCCACCCAGCGGCTCTGCAGAAGAAAGACCTGGCAATCTGCTCCTAAAGATTACAGCCTAGAAAACCCTACGCGGCAGTTCTGCTCTGTCACATGGGGTTGCTGTGAGTTGGTAATGAACAAAAACAACAGTGGAGATTGAGGGACACTTGTTGTTAGGATAGCAAGGGGGAAAGAAGGTTGGTGGGGTGTTAGTAGTTGTGGGATTATATGTTTGCTTTGGCCATTTGTGGATGAAATTCACATTGGCTGAAGTTTTAACTCAAACTTTCCCTAACATAGAATCTTTGAACTGATGCCAAATACATCGCATTTTAGCTGAAAAGATAAGCTTTTCTAAGAAGTGAGGGTGAAAAACAGGGAGTGCTCTGGCAGCCTTTGCTATGGTGCTGGCCACAGCCAGAAGTGTGATGAATATAACCTGCTTCTCTTCCTTCAATTTGGTGATTAGCTGGGACAGTAACCAGCAGCAAGTAAGCTGTCTTTCTGGGTTCTCTTCCAGTATTTTAACATGATTGTTATCCTCCAGCTCCGAAGCTCCACCTCACCTCTTAAGTTAGCTACAATATATAATTTTCTGTTTGGATTTAAGCAACTCTGTGTACTTTTAAAATTGAAGTGGTGAACAAATTGAGAACAACTACTAGGCATATATAAATACGTGTAATGTTAAATTTACCAGTAACCTCAGCCATACATAGAAATAGTATTTCTTACTCACCACTTGAGCTGCACACTTGAGTAGAACCTGCTTTTCTTCTGATAATTCCCCTTCTGAATTTGCTGGTGGCCTGGTTTTGTGTTTTGTTTTGGCTTTGTTTTTGTTTTTTTTATTTGTTTGTTTGTTTTTAATTGGTCATTGAAATAATTCCTATATACCAGACACTGATATCTCCTCCTCTATGGACCTAAAAATAGTTAGTAAACCCTAGACTGAAAACATCGTTGACTCTACTCCAACTTATTCCAAGTGCATGTGAGTTACATTATATGCATTATTGTTAATCAAAAGAACCTATAATATATCTATGTATGTATAGGTCCCTGGGTGGCACAAATGGTTGTTCTTGGCTACTAACTGAAAGGTGCCATGGAAGAAAGGCCTGGCGATCTGCTTCCATAAAAATTACAGCCAAGAAAACCCTATGGAGCTCAGTTCTACTCTTACACACATGGGGTTGCCATGAGTTGGAATCAACCTGACAGCAACAGGTTTAAAATATATGTAATTGTTCAAGTTCCCTAGATATTACAGATACTCAATAAATTGTTCTAGTGAAAATCATCCCATCTTTTCCAAGAACTTGATTTGTACTTTTTTCATTCCCTTAATACCCAATCTGCAAGTCAAACAGCTGTTCTGTTACTCTGTTTTATGACCTTTATTTACATCAACAATTGTGTTATTAATGGCAACCAGTGACAAGACAATGACTTCCCTCAAAGTCTAATGGGGATGTTGAGTGTGTAGCCTCCATCACAGAGTAAGATGGAAAAATAGGACTCATTGGCTTCAGACTGACCAAGATGACCTTCAATTCTGGGTGCCGGTTTCATTGAGTACCCACCGTGTCAACCCAGTGTCTGGGTTACTGGATTTTCACTTTCAGTTGTTTGCCACTGCCTTTTCTCAATGTTTAAATCTAGTGAAGACACTGCCTTAGACCTGTGAACTTTCTAGAAGGAAAACATTACTCTTGCCAATAATCATCATTATTTGGCATCTGTGAAGTCAAAGAACAAAACTGGCTTACCTTTTCTGCCTCAGGAAAATTTGAACCTGGCTCTGAACTCTGCCTCAGCCATCGGGTGCCATGTGGTCAACATAGGAGCTGAGGACTTAAAGGAGGGGAAGCCTTACCTGGTCCTGGGGCTTCTGTGGCAAGTCATCAAGATTGGCTTGTTCGCCGACATCGAACTCAGCAGAAATGAAGGTACGAACAAAGTCTCAAATGTTGTTCATGGCTTGGCTTTCTACTAATGTATGTGTTGGGGGCTGTAGGAGGAGGATATCGGAACGGTCAAGCTCAGAATTTTCAAGTCTTAGAAATTATACAAAGATATATTGAATTCATTATATTAATGTAACAGATTCTATCCACACTGACCTTCTTTTAAAACAAGGGAGCAAAAGCTCTTTATGATCACTGACAAATAGTGCTTTTTTTTTTTTTTTTTTTACAACATATAGCTCATTCTAGCTGTCTGGACTCAAACCACAAAAGCTTTTCTCAGAGTTCATTTGTCTTTAGATACTTCATAACAAACAAGATTACTTGTAACTTGTGTTTTGTGAAGCATTCCATGATTATATACTGCAAAAATCACTTCAGATTAGGAGAATTTAATGTAGTATATTTCTTACCAAGATTGTAGAAAATTACATTTAGAGTTTTAAAGTTCTCGACTAAATGTGCAGCTACCAGTTTTATTGTCTGCTCCCACCATGGTATCTGCACGTAAACAGTTGTAGTCCAGTTGCTTAGACAGAGGTAGTAGTCCTTGATAAACCCAAACCCATTGCTGTCAAGTCAATTCCGACTGATAGTGACCTGATAGGACAGAGCAGAATTGCCCCATAGGGTTTCCAAGGAGCGGCTGGTGGATTCACACTGCCGACCTTTTGGTTAGCAGCCAAGCTCTTAACCACTGTGCCACCAGAGCTCCATCATACAATAGACATTGTTACTTTTGAGTTCAGGAACAGATGCTACCATTATGAAATCTATAGCCCAAATCTAATCTTTAGTTATATATATTTTTTATTTATATGTCCAAATCCCAATAACCAATGAAAAATCCTAGGGTACAACTTTAAAATCAACATATTAAACATAGTTTAAAGGAAAAAAAAAAAAAAGCAGATAGAGATCTTAGAACCCAGGAGAAAGAACATTGATTTGCACATAATGACCTCAGCTAAATTTAAACCCTCTAGCTGAGCAAAACGTATTCTTCAAAGGAAACAGAGAAAAGGGTTGGTTTCATTTTTGGATGCTATAATTATGCAAGTAAGCATTTGAAATCTAAAACACCTACGGGAATAGGCAAGAGAACATTGTCGTTATTACAGAATTGATCTCTTAAAAGCAAAAATGTCCTCTTATGAAATGTGATCTGAGGGATCCCTCAGGGAATTCTGAGTTAATTGTCCTGGCTATTTTCATGACGGTGCTGCAGTGTTCTTAGGTGTAGCATTGAGATTCATTGGTGCCCTGTCTTCTCCATCTGAAAAATGAGGATAATAAATAATTTTGCAATACTTTACACCTTCTTTTAGGGAATAATGTCCCTGGGTGGCGCAAACAGTTAAGTGCTCAGCTACTAGTGGAAAAGTTGGAGGTATGAATCCACCCAGAGGTGCCTCGGAAGAAAGGCTTGGTGATCTACTTCTGAAAAATCAGCCACTGAAAACCCTATGGAGTACAGTTCTACCCTGACACACATGGGGTCCCCATGAGTCAGAATTGACTTGATAGCAATTGGTTGGTTTTTGGTTTTTTAGGGAATACTAATAAATCCTTTGCCATCAAGTGAATTCCGACTCATAGTAACCCTATAGGACAGAGTAGAACTGCCCCATTGGGTTTCCAAGGCTGTAATCTTTACAGAAACAGATTGCCACATCTTTTTCCTGCAGAGTGGCTGGTGGGTGTGAACCCCCTACCTTTCGGTAAGCGCCCAGTGCTTAACCATTGCGCCACCAGGGCTCCTTGGAATACTAATGAAGTGTTTATTTCATGGGCAAGGCTGTAAGTACTTTTACCTCAAGGAGATAATGTTGCTATCTTCAGCTTTCCAACAGTGCTGAATGAAAGCTATAAGTAATCCCCCATGTGCCCCCTTGTATTTACTTGTCTTCTGCTTTTGTGCTTCTCAGCTCTGGTTGCTCTTTTGAGAGAAGGAGAGAGCCTGGAGGATCTGATGAAGCTCTCCCCTGAGGAGCTCCTGCTGAGATGGGCAAACTACCATCTGGAAAACGCGGGCTGCAGCAAAATTGGCAACTTCAGTAGCGACATCAAGGTAGGAGGCGTGGACTGTGGACGCGTGACCGACTGTGGCCTGAAGGGGAATCTGGGTGTTAATGGAAAAAAGACAAAGATCCAGGGCCTTGTCTTCTGACAACCCTGGCTCGGTTAGTGAGTACCTGGTGCTGTTCTGGCTGCTCCTTGTTTTCTAAGCAGTCTGTCTGTAGCCCTAGTACTGAGCCAGCCACACAGACATGTTCAAAGTCCTGGTGCCTGGACAGCATCAAAGGAAGATGAGTCTCCCTTGGAATTTCAGTAGCAGTTAGCAGGAAGTGGAGGGCCAAGAGTGAGGAGAAAGGGCAAGAGATAAGTCCTTGCTTTCTCAAGGAGAGAGTATGTGGAGGACTGTAATGCTTTCCTAGTTTTACAAACAGGAGCACCAGATGGGATTCCTTTAAAACAAATTAAATGAGGATGGATTTCCTAATCATACTAAAATAGCAAACACAGTGCCCACTGTGTGCCAGGCACTGTTCTGACTGCTGTGTACAAGTATTAACTCATTTAGCGCTCACGATGAGGGATGAGGCAAGGATAATTACCTTCCCATTTTACAGATAAGGAAACCAAGGTAAAGAGAATTTAAGTAACTTGTTCACATTTACGTAGCTGGGACACAGGGCCATGATTCAAATTCAGGCAGACAGACTCCGTGGTCCAGGTACTTGACACCATACTAGACTGCCTATCCAAAATGACTCAAGAATTTCTTGAATGCTTTTCATTTGTAGAAATTAGAGTGATTTTTAAAAATAATGATGGCAAAACTGTAGAGACAGTAAAAAGATCAGTGGTTACAGGGATTGACTTGGGGTTGGGGGAGAGGAAAGCAATGAACAGGTGGAGCACAGGGGATCGGTGCCTTTGTTATCATTGATGAACCAATATTGATACATTATCATTAACTGAAGCCCTAGTTCACATTAGGGTTCACTGTGTGCTGTACAGTCCTACAGGTTTTAGTAAATGTATAATGTCATGTATCTACCATTACAGTATCATGCAGAATAGTTGTACCACACTAATGCAAGATATTAATAACAGAGGAAACTATGTAGGGGCAGAAGTGGGCGTATGGGAATGCTCTGTACTTTTTCTGCTCAATTTTTCTGTAAACCTCAACTGCTCTAAAAAAAAAAAGTACAAAGCAAAAGGAGAGAAAAAAATGATAATGATTGTGGAAATCCTCTAGCAATGGGAATTTATCCCAGATCATGTAGAAGACACAATCAGTCCTAAAACAGAGATCCAGAAGGGGAGAGGCTGAGGAAGGCGTACACTGTGGTGGTCAAGTTTATGAAAAGTTCTTGTTAAGGTGAAAGGAGACAGCTGTTTGCATTGATGATAGGTAGACCAAGACAGCAAGCACTTAAGGAATGTCGGAAAGCAGTTCCTAGCAGTACATGGTGTGAGATGTAGGAAAACGTTTTGGTCTCCTCCTTCCCAAAAGTTGAAGAAATGTTTTCTAAAGTGTAAGAGTCAGAAGAAAGGCACATGAGCCACCAAAGCCGACCCAGGTTTATCGTTCTGTCAGTGACGCCTTCCCTTGCAGTGCTATTCAGACTCAGGGTCCGCCAGACACAGTGCCAGTTAAGAGTGAAGCTTCTAGATGGAACGGCCCCGTTTCCTTAGGACCTATGCCAACAATTTCAAAGTCATTCAGCTACGACGTTCACTGATCATGAACATTCTTCTAGCACTGCCGGCAAGCAGGGGCTTAACAGAGGCTAGACGTGATGGTCTCTGGTTGTGCTCACCAGTTAAGCTCTGCAATTTTAGAACTCTTCTGCTAAAATTAGGTTGCTTGATCTGAGCCATGAGCTTGCCTGATTTCCCATCACTAAAAGGCTGTGTTCTCTAGGATAATAATCGTTTTGGACTTTGGAAAGTATCTGTATGAGTTAGGAACGGGCAAGCAGAGCACTTATCCCGTGGTGGTTCTGTTCTCAGGGTGCAGCTCTCTTTGGCTGAGGTCAGTGCTGTCACGTGTGGGTCTGAGTGCCGGCATGTTTGGAACAACAACCAACACGCTGTTGCCCTCGAGTCCATTCTGACTCATGTAACCCCATGTGGGTCAGAGTAGAACTGTGCTCTACAGCAGCACTACCCAAGGGCAGCACCTCTGGAGAGGCCCTTAAACACACAGAGTGGTGTCTTAGGTTGGGTTCTCTAGAGAAGCAATACCAGTAAAGTGTATATATCTATATATATAGAGAGAGAGATATTTATCTCAAGGAAATGGCTCACGCACTTGTACAGGTTGGCGAGTCCCAAGTCAGGTCAGGTGGGTCAGGCATCAGGCTGAAGGCTTCTCCTGACTTACATAGCTGCAGAGGCTGATGAACCCAAGATCGGCAGGTCAGATGGCAGGCTGCTGGCACGTGGGCTTCAGAGGCTGACGAATCCCAAGATTGGCAAGCAGTATGGCAGGGGGCTGGCTCAAGTCCCAAAAACAATACGTAGGTCAGATGATGATGGACTGTATGTAGGATCCAGAGTGAGCAAAGGCAGCGAGCTTTGCCAGAAGGTCCATATAGACTGGATGCAGGCCACACCCTCAAGGAAACTCCCCTTATAACTGATTGGCTGATCATATCATGGAAGTGATTACATTATATCACAAAATGGAAGATAACTACATCATTACATAACTGCCAAATCACTGAGAATCATGACCCAGCCAAGCTGACATACAACCTTAACCATCACATTTCGCAAAAGTGGGGAAAGTGACTATAAGTTGGCAACAGGAGGGAGAGCGCCGTGCTAAAATGAGTGAGAAAAGTTTATTAGGGGTAAGGTAAAATGAGGTTACTCTTAGTAAAGCTAAAAGGATGTATTATGTGGTAGGTAGATTTTATTTGTGCCTAGCACCTGCATGGAACTTTCACAGAGTTCAACATAGTGACAACAACAAAAAAAAAAGTAAGGGGGAGGGCGAGAAAGAAAAGAGACGAAAATCGATTTCCCCAGGTTCAGCATCAACGGCTCACACCCCCTCTCTCTCAGCCGTCTGATGTCACAAGGGGTGAGCAGTGCTCCACCCTGCCTCCGATCCACCTAGTTTTATAAACAAACAAAGCAATAGCTGATGTGTCAGTCTTTAAGAGAAATTAAGATGCCTTTAAATGATTTAAATAAATTACCGGAAGTTTTGTATGGTTTTATTGCATACGAATAAACTCAAAGTTCTGAGACTATGATTCTGAGAATTCTTTTTGACAATAAGCTTATTTCCAGAATCTAGAAAACTTGAGAATTCAGTACCTAAATTCAATCTCCTGTAACTAAATTTAACCTTTTTTTCTAGTCTCTAAACACTAAATGCACTTATCATCTTAATCTCTCTCCTTTTATGTAAAGACTGCCTGTTAAAACTTCAACCTTCAGCTTTGAAATCTGTGTTTTTCCTTTGCTGATTGTTCACTTAAATGCATTTTTAAACTGTGCTTTAAACTTCTGCTTCCTTTTTCTGTCACTTCTTTTTTTAACCCTTAGCTGACTGACTTCTACACCAATATAAAGGTATATATTTTTCCTGTATACAATTTAATACATATGAATTAATTGTTTTTCTCCCCTAAGGACAACAGAATAGTATCTGTGTCTTTGGGCTGCCTTTGTATATATCCTGTATTTTTAATTGTTTCCTTTTAAGAAGAGAACCCAATACATTATACAAACAAATAGAAAATGCAAATCAGTGAATGTGTTTCTAGCTTTGTTAATTAAGTTGCATTCTTGAATGATAGTCGAATGAGAAATAAAGTATGTTTGCTTTTGGGAAATTACTATCATGCTAAGTATGTAATTAGCTGCGCTGTTTTGAAATTGTTATTTCTTAATTTCTCACAGGACTCGAAAGCTTATTACCACCTGCTTGAACAGGTGGCTCCTAAAGGAGATGAAGAAGGTATTCCCGCTGTTGTCATTGACATGTCAGGACTAAGGGTAAGTGCGCGTCCCAAGTTGTGTTTAGAGAACGCGGTGCTGCCTTCCATTGTTAACCATTGCTTCACTCTGCCTACAAGGGACTCTGGAGTTCCATGAGTGGGCATTTCTGTTTCAAGCCAACTGTGCCTGGTAAAACCCATAGTTTTGGACAATAATTGTGGGAAATTGAATCTAGGGGGAAAAAAACTTTAAGGAGGGAAAGAAACTAATACTAATTAAGTGCCATCCCCCATGCTAGCCGTTTCTGTATATGTCCCATCATAACCTAAAGGTTAGTAGTTCAAACCCACCCAATGGTGCTGCAGAAGAAGGGCCTGGCTATCTGCTTCCATAAAGATCACAGCCAAGAAAACCCTATGGCGTAGTTTTACTCTGTAACACACGGGGTCGCCATGAGTCAAAATCGACTTGATGGCAGCAGGTTTTGTTTTGCTTTTTTGGTACAGCACCAAGAAGTACTATTATTTCCATTTTTAGGTACTGGAATCTTATTTCTGGAAATAGATGGGATATTTACACAAATAAATAAATTCTCATTTTAGAGAGGAAAGAAACTGACCCAGAAGGGTTCATTAATATTCCCAAGATGACAGGTTGGCAGTCACGTGATTCCAGGCCGGGGCTCTTTTCTCCTAACCACAGTAGAGTCATCATCACCATCTCTACTTGCTGAGTTCTACTCTGTGCCAGGTACCATGCTAGGCACATCACACACACTACCTCTAATCTTCGCAAACATCACTAAGGTAGGAGTTATTAACTTTGTTTTATAGTTGAGAGAATACAAGGTCAGAGAAGCTAATAATTAGCTTATGGCCCCAGAGCTAGTGTGTGGTATCTGGCAAGGATTGAAACGTAAGTTGGTCCAAAATTTACCCAGCCACACCATTGAGGATAACAGGAGAAAAGAAGTGGGCAGGATCCTGTGAGTTCTCAGAAGGGTCTGATATGAGGACCCTTAAAACCACAGCAGACAGCAAGGGGCTAAATGTTAAAATGTCAGTTTTTCCACTTTAAAACTGATCTTGAGAAGTCACCTTACCCATTTCTGTGCCTCATTTAACGTCATTGGCGTTAAATCCAATGAGTTGATATTGGAGTTAACTCGCCCCTAAATGAGAAGTAAAGCTCGTGAAATGTATAGTGTTATCTAGCAAAGTATCACATTAAGAAATAATTCTAGTTTAAAGTTCTGTTTTCTGAAAATTGGTGGTTTCATAGACTCTTAAGATCTTTCAGGACAGTGGATCATATTTCAACAAAACTTTAATCTTCTTATAAGAGTTTGTTTACAAATGACTGGGGATTTTCTAGAACTATTTGAATAGGCTTTTAATATGTCCTCTATCTGAAGTCTGCAAAAGTTTGATTGATATTATGTATTTATCAGTGATAATATTTTATAGGCTGACTATATAATCAAGTTTATTTTTTTTCTTTTTCTTTTATTGTGCTTTAGATAAAGGTTTCCAGAGCAAATTAGTTTCTCTTTAAACAATTAATACACGTATTGTTTTGTGACATTGGTTGCCAACCCCATGACGTGTCAACACTCTCCCCTTCGAGACCTTGGGTTCCTCATTACCAGCTTTCCTGTCCCCTCCTGCCTTCTAGTCCTTGCTCCTGGGCTGGTGCGCCCATTTAGTCTCGTATACATGGTTGAGCTACGTGTATCATTGTTTTATGGACCTGTCTAACTGACCTCAAGAGTGACTTCAGTACTGAGTTAAAAGGGTGTCCAGGGGCCATACTCTTGGGGTTTCTCCAGTTTCTGTCAGACTAGTAAGTCTGGTCTTTTTTGGGGTTAGAAAATTCTTCTACATTTTTTTCCAGCTCTGTCCCGGACCCTCTGTTGTGGTCCCTGTCAGAGCAGTTGATAGTGGTAGCCGGGCACCATCTAATTGTTCTGGACTCAGTCTGGTGGAGGCTGTGATATTTGTGGTGCATTAGTCCTTTGGACTAATCTTTCCCTTGTGTCTTTGGTTTTCTTCATTCTCCCTTGCTCCAGGTGGGGTGAGACCAGTGGAGTATCTTAGATGGCTACTCATAAGCTTTTAAGACCATAGATGCTACTCACCAAAGTAGGATGTAGAACATTTTCTTTATAAACTGTATTTTGCCAATTGAGCTAGATGTCCCCCGAGACCATGCTACCCAGCCCTCAGCCCAGTAATAATCAAATTTACTTTGCTTGGGCTGCAAGTATACCAGCTCAGAGTGGGAAAGGGGGTTATCTCATACTGACAGATGTTCTTACTGGCAGGTATGATATCTTTGAACTAACTATAGGAATGTCAATGATTACTTAATAAATAAACATTTCGGTGGACAAAATCTCAGGAAGTCTGTGTAAGAAAATAATGAAGAGGAAACTTAATAGTTGAAAATAAGACCAATTTAAATGATAAGACTGTGGAATCTGCTGAATCTCTTTAAAAACAGAGCAACCAACCATTTATCTGAAATGATCCCATAAAAAGATGGGAGGACTCAGTGCCTTAACTTCTAAGATTCCTTTTACTTGTGACTCTCTGATTTTGATTTCTGGCAAATTTAAATAATAGTGTGCTGTGATTAAAAGTCTATGGGCAACAGGTTATGTTAATGAGGCAGTGGTGGTTCAGTGGTAGGGTTCTCGACTCCAATGGAGGAGATCCAGGTTCTATTCCTGGAGGCGTACATGTTGCTATGATGCTGAACAGATTTTAGCAGAGCTTCAGACTAAAATGGACTAGGAAGAAAGGCCTGGAAATTTACTTCCGAAAAATCAGCCGATGAAAACCATATGGATCACAATGGAACATTGTCTGCAACTGATATTGGGGATGGTGCAGAACGGGGCAGTGTCTTGTTCCATTGTTCATGGGATTGCCATGAGTCAAGGCCGGCTCTACAGCAGCTAACAACAACATTAAGTGGCTACCTTAGATAAACTGCAAGGGTTTTGGTAAGATTCCTGTTGCTTTTTCACGGTATACGCGTCGACCTTGACCCAGCCTTGCACCCTCCTTGTTCACTGCAGGAGAAGGATGACATCCAGAGGGCAGAGTGTATGCTGCAGCAGGCGGAGAGGCTGGGCTGCCGGCAGTTTGTCACAGCCACTGATGTGGTCCGAGGGAATCCCAAGCTGAACTTGGCCTTCATTGCCAACCTCTTCAACAGATACCCTGCCCTGCACAAACCAGAGAACCAGGACATCGACTGGGGGGCTCTTGAAGGTAACTGGTTGCTTAAGATGTTAGGACAAGCACTCACAGTTCTAATTCAATGGCAGTTCAAAATCACCTCCCAAGCAAATGCAAACCCCTCACACACACTGGGAAAGATTTGCAAACAGGTCATCAATTCTCTAGTATATAACAAAGAGAATAAACAGATTAATCAAGTCAATTACAACCAAGCAGGAATAATTAAATACCATTATATCACATCCATTATGCGTAGGCTGCATCCGTTATCAGAATTAAATGTTTTAGGGGAGACGATGTATTTAATTATAGGATGAAGTAAATCCTGAGTCCCCAAAACCTAATTTATGTACTTAATGGACTGAGTGTTAATTCCTGGAGGCAAGAAATTGCAACCACTTATTATTATATTTGACTTATATAAGCTAGCAGATGCTTACTGAGTTTTTTGGTTTTGTTTTATTTGTTCAGTTTGGATTATGGGGGCACAGAGTGGTATTTTGAGGCAGAACTCCTGACATTTGTGTTTTTTGGGTTAGTGCCCAGATATTAGCGGAAAATCATATAGCTTTAGTCAGCCTCTAACAGATGAAAGTGCCAGAGATGTTTACTTTTCTTTCTCCATTATGAACTAGTCCTAATATTGAGATAGGAAAATAAATACAAAAATTAAAAGTAATAATCACCAAAGCAAAGAAATCCGAATCTAAAGTATCGGTTGATCCTTTTCCAGTAATGCTTTACTCCAGCTGGACATGCGGTATCCATGTCCATGTTCCATGTTCCAGCACTGCTGCATTCCTATCATCTGATAAACCATAGTCAGGCTCTGTGTGTTTGGTCACTTCCAAATGTATGTATCACGCCTTCTAATCACCCATTTCCAGCCACCTCTAGGACATCCCCATTTGGGCCTTTCACTGTCACCTGAAATTCAACATATACAAAACGGAATTAGTGACGCAACAGTTAGACACTCGGCTCCTAACAGAAAGGTTGGCGGTTTGAACCCAACCAGTGACTCCGAGAGAGAAAGGCCTGGTAATCTGCTTATGTAAAGATTACAGCCTAGGAAACCCTATGGGGCCATTCTACTCTGTCACGTGGGATTGCTACAAGTTGAAAATCAACTGGATGGCACCCAACCACAAGCTCCCCCATTGCCTTTCCAGAGTCCCTTGGTGGTGTGAATGGTTAACACACTCTGCGCTAACAGAAAGGTTAATAATGGTTGGAGTCCACCCAGAGATGCCTCAGAAGAAAGGCCTGGCAATCTGCTTCCAAAAAATCAGCCTTTGAAAATCCTATAGAGCACTGCTCTGATACACATGGGGCCACCATGAGTCCTAATCAGCTCATTTTTATTGCCTTTTCTCCTCCACCCCTCATCCACCCCCTGCCCACCCCCATCCTGTCCGCATTCCTTTAGAAATTCTCCATTTTCATCAGTCAGACCATTTTTCCTTTAGTTACCAAAACTCTAGACCTTGGGTTCCACTTTGATTCCTACTTTACCCTTCTATCTAGTAAATCAGCAAATACTAATAATTCTTCCTTCACCATGGCTCTGAGCTTGTTATTTTTCCTTTCTGCTCTTCTGGACTCTTATTACCTTCTACGCCAGTTGTTTCAGTTGGTCTCAGGGGCCTGTTCCTCCATTCATCAAACATGTGAGTGGGTCCCAGTGCCAAGCACTAGCCCTTCTGTGTGTTTAATTTACATTCATACCACCTTCCAACCATTCTGCACACCGCTGCAGGTACATAACAATGCGGCTTTCATTGTATCTGTGCCTTGCTCAAAAATTTATTATAGTAATAAAAAAAAAGTCTAGAATGACTGACATTGTCTGATATATCGAGTATAAGATCTGCTACCTGGCATTCGGAGAACCCCGATCCCGGTTTCAGGCTCTGGACAGCATTATCTCTGTGTACCGTACAGCACATATCCCTGGCACATCAGTTCCCCACGTTATTAATACAGGCCTTGCCTACCACCCTCTTTGAGTTCATATTTATACTACCTCCTACCCTACCCCTTACCATCCCCTCAAATTCTCTCCTCTTTCCTCTATACTATCCAGCTTTTACTAGCCCTTTAAGGGGAAGCTCAAATTCTACTCCCTCCAAATTTAACCCACACTTTTCTTTCCCCCGGTGGTACAACTGTTAAGTGCTCGGCTGCTAACTGAAAGGTTGGAGGTTCAAACCCACCTAGCTGGTCTGTGGTAGAAAGACCTGGCAGTCTGCTCCCATAAAGATTATAGCCTAGGAAACCCTATGGGGCAGTTCTACTCTATCACATGGGGTTGCTATTAGTCAGAGTTGATTCAGTGGCACCCAACAACAACAATAACATTATTTCCCCAGAGTTCCTGGGTGGTGCAAGCACTCAAATGCTAACCAAAAGGTTGGAGGTTTGAGTCCATCCAGAGGCACCTCAGAAGAAAGGCCTGGTGATCTACTTCTGAAAAATCAGCGATTAAAAACCCTGTGGAGCACAGCTCTACTCTAACACACATAGGGTCGCCGTGAGTTGGAGTTGACTCAAGGGCAACTGGTTTTACTGGTATTCTTTCCCCTGCTTCAGCTCAAATATCACATGTATCTGCCTCAGATCTTAGGCCTCTAGCTTGCATGATCTCTAGTAGTTTGATGCCTTAAATTTCTTGTTTACCCAGAAACAATGGAAACCTGTGAAGACAAATTTTGAACAGTTTCCCCACGGGGTATCTTGTGCGATACTAATAGGTGTCTTAGAAATACTTGTTAACCTGAAATGAAAAAATTAGCATAGAATAGCAGCCCTCAACCAAATTCATTAGGGTTTATTTTGTTATTGTTGTGTGCCCTCCAAGACAATTCTGACTCAAAGTGACCCTGTAGGATGGAGTAGAACTGCCCCATAGGATTTCCAAGGCTGTAGTCTTTACAGGAACAGATCGCCATGTCTTTTCTTCTGCATAGATGCTGGTGGATTCCAACAGACAACCTTTCCATTAGCAGCCAAGCGCTTAACGATTGTGCCACTAGAGTTTATTTTATTTACCTTTTCTTTTTTCATTCTACTTTCAGTTTTTAATGACCTCTTTAGTTGAGCTTAGGCAGTCCTGGTAGTGCAAACGGTTAAGTACTCAGCTGCCAGCCTAAAGATTGGAGGTTCGAGTTCATCCAGAGGTGCCTTGGAAGAAAGACCTGGCAATCTACTTTTGAAAAATCATCCATTGAAAACCCTATGGAGCAAAATTCTACTCTGTCACACATAGGGTCACCATGAGTCAGAATAAACTCGACAGCAACTAGTTTGTTTTTTTTTTTATTTAGTTAAACTTTACTCCTAAAAATGGGCATGTTTTCGAAGGGTCTGAAAGATACCCTGTCTTTATTAATTTAGGTGAGACGAGGGAGGAGCGGACATTTAGGAACTGGATGAACTCCTTGGGCGTGAACCCTCGAGTCAATCATTTGTACAGGTAAGAATATTCGGAGTCTCATCCTTAATGTGAGATGCAGAGACCTTAGAACAACCACAGGGTTCCAGATAGCACAGTGGTGCATAATTCTCTTCACAAAAATGTATGTTCTTTGATGAGAAGAGAAAACAGTGCCAAATTGAGCTGTACATGCTGGATGTTCAGCTGAGAAACCCACTTCCATACACCAAACTCACTGGGTGTCTAATACAGTCATATTTCAGCCAAATGATGAGCTTACTACGTCGTAAGCCTATGATTTGCTCATGAGCAGTTAAACAAATAAGTGTTAAGTTTGCAGTTGTTAAGGGTCTTCTAGTCCCTGGATAGCGCACTTGGCTGCTAACTGACAGGTTGGAGGGTCAAGTCTACCCAAAGGCATCTCGGAAGAAATGCCTGGTGATCTACTTCTGAAAAATCAGCCCTTGAAAACCCTATGGAGCACAGTTCTACTCTGACACACGTGGGGTCACCAGGAGTTGGAATCGACTTGAAGGCAACTATTCTGTTGTTTGTGCCATTTGTTAGAGCCACATTCCTTTTCCGGGAGGCAGCGTGTCTTGCTGAAGGGACATAGGTAGTCACACCTGGTACAAGTCTCAGTTTCCCTGAGTCATAGTTTCTTCACCTCTAAAGATAGAACTACTAATGCCAGCTTTGCAGGATTGTTGTGAATGGGCCTCGAGCTAAGACATAAAGAAGTGCCTGGAGCCCTGGTGGCACAATGGTTAAGTGCTGGGCTGCTAACCAAAAGGCTGGCAATTTGAATCCACCAGCTGCTCCTTGGAAACGCTATGGGACAGCTCTACTCTGTCCTATAGGGTTGCTATGAGTTGGAATCAACTCAACAGCATTGGGTTTGATTTGTTGTTGGGTATCTGAGCATTCTTTTGTGTTTGTTTTTGTTCAGTGACTTATCAGATGCCCTGGTCATCTTCCAACTCTATGAAAAGATTAAAGTCCCTGTTGACTGGAACAGAGTGAACAAACCACCATACCCCAAACTGGGGGGCAATATGAAGAAGGTAAACAGTGACTATTCTGGTGTTCCAATAGGCAGGTGAAGTCATAAGCCTGCAAGGGCACTATGTGAATCTTTATCAGGAGGCCAGACCTAGATAAATAATGTTTGTCCAGGGATTAAATTACAGCCCAACACTCAGAAACCTGCATACTTTTATTAGAGACAGTCCGTTATTTCAGTTGATTTCCTATTTATACTTCTATGTTGGATGTCTGTAACTTCATGATGTAAAAATTCTAATTAAGATAATTAGAGCAAGCAGACCTACAGTGTTGTTTTTCCCTCAGCAGGATCCTCAGTGTAATTTTCCAAAGAACTGGAGCTTTTTATCAGCAGTGTGACTTGTACAAATAGTTTGTCTACTGTCAACATGGTGGGAACACGTTGTTTTGTCAAAGCAGCAATAGGGTTGAGTTGTCACAACCATTTCTCACCACTTCACATCTCTGCGATTCTTAATGATCTCTGTGTAGCCACAGGAATACCTGCCCCACATGTCAGCCCACTATGTGCATATAGGATAGAGAATATAAATTTTCCATGTGGTGCTCTATGAATTTAGCTCTTTTTAGGAATATTGTGGACAAGTAACTGAGGAGTGTTCTGTATTTATGTAGTGTGGTATAGCCATGAAAATGTTTATAGTAAGAGTCCCTGGGTGGCACAAATGGTTAAGCGCTCGACCGCAAAGTTGGTGTGTGAACACACCCAAAGGTGCTTTAGAAGACGAGCCTGGTGATCTGCTTCCAAAAGGTCACAGCCTTGAAAACCCCATGGAGTGCAATTGTACTCTGCACACATGGTGTCGCCGTGTGATGTAGCCATGACCGTGTTTAGAATAATGAATTCATTTTGGTTTTGCACTTAGAGCACGCTCTGAATATTTTTGGTGGAAGTGAGGGGTTCTATTTAAGAAAAGATGGAAAATCCTTGAACTAGTTTGGAATCCTAGAATTGCAGAGCTGGGAGAAACTTGGGAGATCATTCAGTCTGACCATACATGGTTCATTCTGTGTCTTTATTTTTATTGTCTTATTTTACATGGTATTTCTCATCATAGAGATGATGACCTGAAATTATTTTACTTCATGCTCATTAACAGCTAGAGAATTGTAACTATGCAGTGGAATTGGGGAAGAATCAAGCTAAGTTTTCCCTGGTTGGCATTGCTGGACAAGATCTCAATGAAGGAAACCGCACTCTAACGTTGGCTCTGGTTTGGCAGCTAATGAGAAGGTAGGAAACTCATGGGAATGGCTTTTTATTGAATGTACTGTTTACCTAGAAAAATACTAGCAAATTTCCAGGAATATGGTTTAATCCAGGAAAGCTTCGTTTTAAGCTAAACTTAATAACCAAAGAAGTTGTTTTTGTTGTTGTTGTTTTTATTTTCCCCCTTTAATTTCCATCAGTTTTTGTTTCAGGTATTTTGAAGCTCTGTCATTAGGCTCATAAACATGTTAGATTGCCACATCCGCTAAATGAATCACCCCTTGATCTTTATGGGATGACTCTCTCTCTGCCTGGTAATATTCTTTTCTCTGAAGTCTACTTTTTCTGATATTAATATAACAGCTTCCTTTTGATTTGTGTTAGCATGGTATCTTTTCCCACCCTTTTACTTTTAACTGATTTGTGTCAATAATAGTTAATCAGCTTTTAAAGAGATTTTTTCCCAGCCTCTGCTAGTTTCCTCGTAAGCGTGCGCTGAGCAGTACTCAGCTGAAGACTGGAGGGAGACCCTCTGCAGGTCTCAGGGGCTCTCTTTCCCTAGGACTGTCTCCTTTCCGTGCAGCTCTCTCCTCTCCGGCATTTTGCCCCACAAATTCTAGCCACCTAGGCTTCCTTGGAGTCTCAACCCTGTCCCCTCACCTCTTAGGGACTGCCATTGCTCTGTTTGGGTTTTCTCTCCCTGCCTGCAGCCTGGAAACTCCCTCTACACATAAGATGGGGCAATTTTAGGGCTGTTTGTTTTCCTGCTTTCAGGCACCACTGTCCTCTACTTCCTTTTGTTCAGTGTCTGAAAACCATTGTTCCATCTGTTTTCATGTTTTTGTTTTTAAGTGTTTACAGTGTAAGAGCAAATCTGGTCTGTCATGTCCAGAAGCAGAAGTTCCCGCTATTTCTTTAATAGAGACCTTTAGATACTTTTTGAAGCTAAATATAAATGTGACTAATGTGAGAACTCTAAGGCGTATTAGTTAAACTGTGTTGGTGTTGTTGTATAGTAAGAGTCGGCTGTGACTCATGGTGACTCCGTGTATATGTAAAAGAATGAAATGTTGCCTGGTGCTGTGCCTTCTTCACAGGTTGGTGTGCTTGAGTCCACTGTAGTAACCACGGTGTATTTTGAGTGCCTTTCAACCTAGGGGGCTTAGCTTCTAGCACAGTATCAAACAGTATTCTGTTGTGATCCGTAGGGTTTGCATTGACTAATTTTTCGAAGTAGGTTGCCAGGCCTTTCTTCCTGGTCTGTCTTAATCTGGAAGTTCCATTGAAACCTGTCCACCATGGGTGACCCTGCTGGTATTTAAAATACTGGAGACATAGCTTCCAGCATCATAGCCAACACGCAAGCCACCACAGTATGACAAACTGACAGATGGGTGGTGGTTATTATAGTTAAATGATAATAGAATATAATAAGATACACAAATAGAAAATGAATCATAAGAAAAATAAATAATTTTTGGTATAAAAGCACAGACCTTGGAGGAAAGTTAGATAGCAAATCTTAAGTATAAAATAGTTCGCCTTTAAATGCTTTGCTTATTCCCCCTATGCTGATAGTTCTGACCAGACAGAAATTTTACATCCTTAAATAGAGCTTATATTACTATGACTTAATTCATTTTTCTGCATGGAAGGAAGCCCCAGAAACCATACATGACATTACATTATATCTAACAAGGTAATGGCAAAGACAAGGTTTGTATTGTTTCTAGGTACTTCCGCTTTACTCCCAGGCCACTGTCTGCAGACCCTAATATTTGTGAGAGGTCTTCATTGTAATTGTGTCAGTGTTTCCAGATGACATAGGGTCATCAGAAGTGATCACAATAGATTTCACTGCCTGATTCACATTTTCTTTACCAGATATAAATCTCCACTACCCTGCTTTCAACTGGGCTGTCTTTAATCGTGGAAGGCAGATGCCACAAGGTTCCTCTGGCACAAAGTTCCCCAGAACTATATAGATTTCAACACATCTTCTGTTTTACTGTATATATCTAGAACCTCTCTGAAGATTCCTTAGGGCCATTCTCCTCAGCATATTTTGAGAAATAATTTCTAAACTATTCATTATTATCTTTCATATGTGTTTTTAATTCTTAACGGGCTGACTTTTGGTACTGATTACTTGGAAAACAAGGCAAAAGTCATTTTAGCTGCAATAGTTAAATTGAATTGTGTGTTTCAGATATGAAATACTCTTTGAAATATTCTGTTTTAGTGATAAGAAATTCAGGCCAACTCTATTCTGTTTTGAATTTCATAACGTCGGAAAAGCACCTTGTAATACGATCTTTGTTTGAAAATTTTTTTTTTTTTTTAATATTTTATTGTACTTCAGGTGAAGGCTTACAGAACAGATAGTTTCTCATGTAACAGTAACACACATGCTGTTTTATGACATTGGTTAACAACCCCACAACATTTTAACCCTCTAAATTCTCAACTTTTTTTTTTCTTTGGTGAAAATACACATAGCCAAAGATACGCCATTTCAAAAATTTTTTTTACATACACATTTAAGTGACATTGACTACGCTCTTCTAATTATGCTGTTATTCTCACTTAAGATGAAGGCTTACAGGACAAAATAGTCTCCCATTTGACAGTTACTACAAATGTTGCCCTATGATGTTTGAAAATTTTTTAAAATACAGCCAGAAGCCATACTTTATATGATAAAGTAGCATGTATATATGTGTATTTGTGTGTGTGCATATATATATGACAAGTCCTACGTATATATATACACATATGTATATATACATGTATGTATGTATATATATTCACACACACATATATACACACACACACATACACACACACACACACACACACACATATATATATATATATACATATATAGCCCTGGTGGTTAAGAGTTCAGCTGCTAACCAAAAGGTCGGCAGTTTGCATCCACCAGCCGCTCCTTGGAAACTCTACGGGGCAGTTCTACTCTGTCGTCTAGGTTGCGATGAATGTGGTAAGTCCTAATCCACTGCTGCCTCCACCCAGTTAATAAGCCATATTTTTCATTAGTATTTACTACTCAAGAATTGGGCATATAAGAACCTGGACAAACAACTACATTACTTTTGAAGGAGAAGAAATGACTGATAATTATTTAACTGGCACCAGAAGAGACTTTTGTTTGTTTGTTTGCTTGGCACGTTAATGGATCTATTAAATTCACAGCCAGCTCTAGCTGGAATTTATTTCAGTGGATTGCACAGATGTGCTAATTTGCTCATTTATCTGGCAATAAATAGTGTGTCATTTTCCCCCCTAAGAACAAATGAGAGATATGTACGTAAACCTCCCTTTCCCCTTCAGCAGTTTGGAAATTGTTCTCCAATTGGAAAGCTGGCAAATTGTATGTGTACAAACTTGAAGACAAAGGCCTGAAACAAGGAGGCCGATGGCAGGCAGCGATGATAATTAGACTCAAGCAAATGAACAGAGTCTGAGGCAGGCAAATGAGTAGACATGCCATGACTAAAATGACCTTGGGATGGAGGGAGGCCTCGTGGTGCAGTGATTAAGAGCTCGGCTGCTAACCAAAAGGTCAGCAGTTCGAATCTACCAACCACTCCTTGGAAACCCTATGGGGCAGTTCTACTCTGTCCTATAGGGTTGATACGAGTCGGAATCAACTTGACAGCAGCGGGTTTGGTTTTTTTACGGTTTTGGGATGGAGAAATTGGAATAGTCCTTGAAAACCAAAAAATATCTTATTAGATTTGTCTTTCTGCACCAAATGTTAAAGTATTGGAAGGCAGGAAAACAAGCAATAATTGTACCCCCTCGTATGCCAGCACATCCACACCTTCCCAATTCTGTTTTGTGGAATGAAGAACTGGATAAAACTGGGGCTTATATGGCTGTTTTGTTTTGACAGAGAGCTTTTCAGCACAGTGCATTTTGCAAATACCAGTGATGTTGGGATCCCATCTAGAGGGTTCCATTTAGTTGCATAGTTGCCCCAAAATGTGTTTGACGATCTGGAATAATTGTCTCAAAAGGAAAATTCTGAATAAGACACTGGCCAAATTAATTTCTTTTAAAATGTTGATTCTACATTTAGATGAGTAATTGCCTAGTGGACTATCTCAAGTTGAGGCTCCAGAAGTTCTATCCTTTATTTTTATCATTGTATTTACAACCGGGTATCTCATTCATTTTAAACTCTGCATCTCACTTGAGGTGACAGAAAAGCTATTTTGTGTTCGCCAAACTCTGGGTCTCACTGTGAGGGGCGACTCTTAAACCCCAGAATGCAGTAAGCCACCCCCACAATTTTCTGCATCTCTATAAGTATCCCTGTTCCTTAAACCCATTGCCGTTGAGTCAATTCCGACTCATAGCTACCCTATAGGACAGAGTAGAACTGCCCCATTAGATTTCCAAGGAGTGCCTGGTGGATTTGAACTGCTGACCTTTTGGTTAGCAGCCGTAGCTCTTAACCATTATGCTACCGGGGTTTCCAAATGGCTTTTTTATTTTCAGGAGTAGATTTTTATGTAAAGGTAAGCCTCTCCCCTGTACCGTTTACTTCCGTAGTTCGGGAGGTGGGTCAAAAGTACTGCTTCTGGTCACTTGAGTTTGTCAATAAAGCAGAGCTGTAACTCCTAACAAAAGGAGGTAAGAATTAAGTCCTAAAATGAGTGGAGCTACTAGACGATTAAAAAATTAGCTTGTTTCCTCAGGTGAGGAGCACTGGTGGCATAGCGGTTAAGGGCTTGGCTGCTAACTGAGAGGTCACCAATCTGAATCCAGCAGCCACTCTGCAGAGGAACTATGTGGCAGTGTGCTTCCGTAAAGATGACGGCCTTGGAAGCCCTATGGGGCAGTTCTAGTCTGTCCTATAGGGTTGCTCTGAGTTGGAATTGACTCATCGTCAGTGGGTTTTTTCCTCAGGTTATACAAGGACATGACCTAATGAAGCAAGCGTTTATCTACCATTTCTCAGTGGAAGGCTGCTAGGCAGGAATTTCTAAGTGTTACAGCAAATGCTAATAACAGAATACACATGCTAACTATCAGGGAACAAGAAACCAGTTATGCCGTAAAATGTAACCTTTATGAACAGGTCAGAACTAGGACCTTTTCCAAACGGGGAAGATTTTGAAAGTCCACCTGAGTCTTCTCCCATTTGTAGTCATTATTCCTTAGCATTTTGGTCCCAGCTCTGGGCCCAGACTAAGTAGTTCTCATCTGTACTATCTCTGGATTATTTCATCCCTTGATTTCCCTGGGAAAAAGCCGCTCTTCATTTATTTTACCCGCCACTCTGCTCTTTCATTTGCTAGTTACCTAACATGCACTGAGGAGTCCCTGGGTGGACAAATGGTTAACTCACTCAGTGGCTCACCCAAAGGTTGGAGTCCGCTCAGAGGCACCTCAGAAGAAAGGCCTGGCAATCTACTTCTGGAAAATCAGCCACTGAAAGCCCTATGGAGCACAGTTCTACTCTGATACCCACGGGGTCACCGTGAGTTGGAATCAACTCGGCAGCAAATAGTTAATATGTACTGGGGGCTCGGCTGACCCCTGGAAAGACAGGATGATCGGGGGCCTTGGACATGTGGGAGGGGGGTATGGTGGACAGGTAGAGATATACACATCAGCTGTATCAAAAGTTTGAGCCAAGTGTAACAATGATGATGAATATACTGCACAGGCCAGTTGGAAAAGTGACACTTGAGCCGGGTCTGGCTCAGAAGACTAGACATTTACTGAAGGGAAAGGGCAGCTCAGGCAGAGAGCACGGCTGAGTCACGGAGGCAGGATACAGGGCGTGGCTGGGGAGCTGAGGACTGCTCTGTGTGGTTAAAACGTTAGTGTGTCTGTGAGGGAGATGGCCACAGGCACGGGGCAGAGAGAAGGGAAGAGGGAAATTGAAGATGGGCGGAAAAGGGACACTTGAGCCAAAGCGTGAGGTGCCTTGTACACCATGGGGTCCCTGGGTAGTGCAAACGGTTAATGCACTCGGCTGCTAACCTAAAGTTTGGAGTTTCACCCAGAGGTGCCTCAGAAGAAAGGCCTGGTGATCTACTTCTGAAAAAATCAACCATTGAAAATCCTATGGAACACAGTTCTGCTCTAACACTCGTGGGGTTGCCGTGAGTCGGAATCGACTCGACGGCAGCTGGTTTGGGTCGTTCTGGTTTGGTATACCATTCTAAGGAGTATGACCTCCATTTTCTGAGCTATGGGGAGTCACTTGGAATGACGTGACCAGAACTGTACTTTAGAAAGATAATTCTGGAGATCCTGTGAGGAAAAGAGGCAAGTGAAGGGGAACCAGTTGATCTGAGGGGGATTCAGAAGGTGTAATTGAGAGGACTTTGCTGCCAGTTTGGTAAACAGGATTTTTTGGCAAAGAAAAGTTGCGAAGCCATTCCCTACCCGCCCCCCACCCCCATACACCTTTTTCTTTGGCCAACTTCTTAACCTTCCAGTACCAGGCAGAGTCACCCTCTCCAAGACTGAATTG